GATTTCAGGTTTTGGCAAGAGGTAGAGAGGGAACGTGAGGAAGAACTTTGTTAATGCAGTGAGTGGAAATGACCTGGAATCTGCTGCCCGTTAGAGCAGTGGGTGAGGAGAGGATAAGAACATGAGAAATAGGAGCAGGAGTAGGCCATCTGACCTGCCATTCAACAACATCATGGCTATCTTTCCATGGACTCAGCTCCACTCACCCGCCTGTTCATCATAACCCTTAATTCCTTTCCTGTTCAAAAATCTATCTATCTTTGCTTTACAAACATTCAACGCAATAGCCTCAACTACTTCCCTGGACAGGGAATTCCATAGATTCACAACCCTTTCTGTGAAGAAGTTCCTCCTCAACTCAGTCCTAAATGTGTTCCGCCTTATTTTGAGGTTATGCCTCCTAGTACTAGCTTCAACTGCCAATAGAAACAACCTCCCTGCTTCTATCTTCAATGGTTTCAAAAAGAAATTGAAAAGACACTTTAGGTAAATGAATAGGGCTCCATAAATAGCATTGGGGTGGAGGTGGGGTAGTGGGACTGACTGGATTACTCCTTCGTATCTGATGGACTGCCTTCTTCAATGTCACAATTGACTCTACAACTCCATTCACAAAACCATTCTAGCCAGAATTTCCACATGTTCATAGTCCACAGGTCATTGACAATGGTAGTTCTTGAAGTATTATACATGATTCACTGTCTCTGGTCAAGCAGAATTGCACAATGTAACAGGAGAGAGAACATAAAGCACAACGCTTGGTTCAAGTCTGTATTTACATAACAGCATTTAATCATTTTCCGTTGTTGCTGGATCAAAACCTTGGCACTCCCGGGCGTTCCTAATGGAATGGCCTGCTGCAGTCCAAAAAAGCAGCTCATCACCAACTTCTCAAAGGCAATTAGAAATGGGTAACAAATGCTGGACTACCTAGTGACACTCTTCTTGAGAAAAGTATGGTAACTTAAAGAAATCAACAATTTAAAACCACGTCCTTTGGAAATGTCAAGAATGACAATGGTAGGGGATGGAAAAGCTGGCTTGCAGAGGATTTTTCAGAGCCAAAACTGGAGAGCTCAGTGCTAAGCATTTTAGAGAAGTGGCAGGTTTGGACTCATGCCAATGGTTTTCTGTTCTGCACATCATTAAAAGCAGAAAGCTGCTTATTCCAAAGGGTCATGGATTGTGCTACATTCCAGGAGGTCCTGTATGTCTGAAGTTGTAAATGTGTGTTCATTAACCAGAAGCATTTTTAAAATCATCTTTAATGAGCAGAAATCTCTGGTTCTGTAGGTGAACGCTAATGAAGAACTAAAAGACCAAGAGTATTTTTCATAAACAGCGCGGTTTGCTGTTCTTTCCTCATTGAATCGCAGTTGAACATTTTTTTCCCCTGCACTCACAGCAATTATGAAAGAAAACCTGCCTGAAGGCATTCTAGATTCCCCAACTGTTGTTCCTGAGCAAGAGCCAAAAGTGAAGAACTGCTGTTAAATTATAACATCGTGGAGGACTGACTTCTGCCACCTTAAACATGCCTGGAATAAAGCAAGTCAAACTTTGACAAACCTAAACCACAGGGATGTGTTTATTGCTCAGTAAAAAAATTCAGTTCATATGGAATTTACTTCGTATCTATGATATTCTCAGTTTGCTTGGTCTGTGTGTAGTTTTCACATTCTCTCCATGTCTGCGTGAGTTTCCTCTTGGTAATCCAGTCCAAAGATGTGCGGGTTAGGTCATGTATAGGATGGGCCAAACGACTAAAAGGTAATGCTGATATTTGACTGCTGCGTGGGAAGATAGATTGTACAGGATGGGACAATAGGCTGGGAAGGTTTAGGATGATACTTGACAAGCTGTAAGACCTTGAATGAAATCCTGTGAACATTCCTTTCCGGGCCAAAGATGGCACCTGCAGCTTGCTTTTTCTGTAGCTGTATTGTCTTTACCAGTTAACAGTTTTGTCCATTGTATTTGCTGTTTTCTGTGCTGACTGTTGCACTGTATAAGAGAGAGAGGGTTTCATTCCAAATTGCTGGACTTCACCTTGACATGGAATCGCGAACAGTGCCAGGAACGAACTTAAGCCTCCAGACCAGCCATTGATCGACAGGCAGTAGGGGCATGAGACCTGTTGCTTTTTTCTAGATGGGGGTGTGAGACTTGTTTTCATTTTCTCTTTCCTCTTCCATTTATTATTCACTTATTATTATCATTATAATCATTTATTTTTACTTAATAAACATTCATATTTTAGCAAACTACAGTTAGATGAGCCTTCTCAATTGTATTTACCCGAACCTTAAAAATACTGTTTGGAAACACTGTGATCCAAGACAGGTGGATTGGCCACATCAAATTGTCCCATAATGTCCAGGAACATGCAAACTAGGTGGATTATATGGGAAATGTGGGATTATAGGGATAGGGAAGGGGTGTGGGTCGGTGTGGACTCGATGGGCTGAATGGCCTGCTTCCACACTGTAGGGATTCTAAATGATTCCATGGCACAGATTTCTCTTTTGATGCCCACAATATTTATAGAACTCTCTCAGGTTAAGAGGAGGACTTCTCCGCTGTCTATTTTAGCGTAAGAGTGGTTTAATGGGCCCAGTAAATGTTCGGAAGCTTCAGATTGGAAATGAGCATCTGTTCCAGTGCAGCATGCCCAGCGTACTTGGTGCTTCTGTCTCTGCCCAAAACCCAGGGGCACGCCTGCCAGCTGCCTGGGCTGATTACAGTGGCAGTAGATTTACATTCAACTCAAAGTTATTATTAGTAAGGTTAAAGTTAAAATATGTGATAGTCCCGGCTGTAGTTGGAACAATTATTCATTGCTGCTCGGAACAAAGAGATAAGGAGGACTGAAGGCCAGACATGGTGCTGAGTTACCACGGCAACTAGCAGATCCAAGGCTGGAGACTGAGATAGCGGGAAGGGACCTTGCATGAAGTGGAGAATAAGTAACTGTGTGCTTTTGTAATTTTGAGATGTTCAGTAAGTAACTAAGATCAGCTTCTCCCTTGCACATACTGGGGTAAACTCTTTGCTTGTTTGGACCTTGCAGACTTAAGAGTGCTCACATTTCCCTACAACACACTATCAGGCTTTAGGACCTTCAAGGAAACGCTGGCTGACCACATTCTTTGGGCAAGTCATTTGATCAGGTTTTACAGATTGCGTACTGCACTGTGCTCACAGTTTGGTTAGGAATGGAGTCTTCAGTAACACCTCTGCAAATGGGCAGAACCAGGGTATCAGTTCAGTGAACAAGTGCTGATGGTAGGTCAGGAGTTGGGGGGGCGGTGGTGTCGCGTCAGGCAGTGGTCGTCAGGGGTATGTAGAGATCAGTAGGTCTGGAGGGTGTATCAGCCTGAGCAGTGGGGGGTGGGGGAAGAGTGTCAGCGCAGGTGGGGTGCAGTCAATGTCATGTCAGGCCTGAGTCTGCTCAGTGGTGAGGGGTATCGGATTCAACAAGTGGGAGGTTCAAGGAGTTCAAGCCAGCTCCTTTGATGCGGGGCACAGAGAGTACTGAGCACAACAATGAATAGGATTTAGTTCCCTAAATCTTATCTCTTACACGTGTTAATGCCTTCAACTCTATGGAGGTAAGAACTGGGGAGAATAGCCAGCGATAAAGGCTCAAATTAGGTTTTGGCAACACAAGCTTAAGACAGGGCCACAGCAGCAAAGGTGTGACCAGGTAGTCATAGTTGTAATATAGGTATGTAGTCAGAAACTTATCAAGGTGGAAGAGGACTTAGGTTCAGCAAGTTGTGGTGTGATCTAAGTCCTGTTACTGGAAAGGTCTACCAAATCTTTGTAGATCATACTTTGCCTAGGATCCAACTATCATTTCAAGGTTTTTGTCTTCGATTCCTGCCTTACACAGGAGATCATTTTACCAATTTTTGCCCTTTTTGATGTAGTTGCCTGACTCACCTAGAAGCAATAATATGCGCTCACCTTCATAATACAGTGTACTATCTTATTAAATATATCTTTTGCCTTCCTCAGGACTGGGATTTTGAAGCCTTCTTGCAATTGGAAAAAAGAGACAAATCTTAGGGGATAACTCTTCAAGTCCTCGGATCACCTTTAAATATGCAAGGATGGTCATCTTTGGAAGAATTGGAGTGTAAGATTATAGTCAATGCCTTTTCTTATTTATAGTCTAAGTTCAGCAATTGTAATACTTAATTATCAAATAACAAGTTAGACTCCAGTGAAACACAATACATTAGTCTTGATAAGTAAACCACTGTTACACATATTTACAACTCATTGATTAGATCTCAGTCACCCTGAGTTTAATCTCCCAGGCCTTCAGTCCAAGCTGCCTGCAGACTACAGGATGTCAGTGAATTAAGCGTTATCCCTGTTACACTGTTCAGTCCTAATGTCCTAGTTTGTGGCAAATACAGATCATTAATGACAACAGCCTTAAGCAGCACGGTACAGTACAGCATCAAACAGTAGTGGCTGTTTTGTTTTTGTTAATCAGACCCAACATTTCCTTGCCTTAATAAAACTGAAAAAAGAATCAGTTTGAATGAAGTGGTGTTATAAACTAAATTGTGAATTTATAATGAATCAAACTGCAGCTGTGTCTAGTCTTGGCCCAACTAAACTTTCAGCCCTCTTCTCCTTTATCCAGGGGATGTGGGCTTTTCTGGCTGGGTCAGTATTTGTTGCCCATTGCCAATCATCCTGGAGAGGGTGGTGGTCAGCTACTTTCTTGAACCACTACTCTGGTCAAATTGTTGATTATTAAAGTATGAAAAGAACATTGTCCAGATAATAAATACAGATTTATTTAAGCATCATTTCACAAAGACTACCCCTGAAGATTAGCTCAGGAGTAAATACATTAAGATTAGACAGAAAATGCTTTTAAATTCTTTTAAATTTCCATTCACTTAACAAAAATATTTACTTATCAGGTGAACTGAATATATTTTGAGTTGTAAAAGAAAAACACATTTTATATTCCTTAATATTTGTTTCATATTAATTAACAGAATTATAATCTACTTTCACAACAGTGCATTATAGCACTGAAAATAGATATTTTTGTAGGTACGAATTCAGTAATTTTAGAGGCAACATTTGAAACACAAAACATTTATATTTAATTCTTGGCATTAAAAACAATGGCAATACAATATCTTAAGACAGTTGGTGTTTTTTTTTCCCATCACAGAGGCAGCAACAGTTTTGACAGTACATATTCATTGAGTACAAAACTACTGCTAAGAGGCCAAGGGTTCAAAACCAAACATTAGGCTGACGGAACAAAATGTACAAACCTCAGCCAACAAAGTTCTTCCATTCAACGAGATAAATATGTGGTAATAAATAATAAGTAAATCATCTGCAAAAATATTCCAAAACTTTTAGTCAAGGCTCATATTAAATGTGTGAAATTCACATTAAATAGGAGGACAGAGGTCGTTGGTCTTTCGAAGTGCAACAGCAATAACAGAACTGAGCAGACATGCACTATACATTTTGGGTGGGTTGCAATGGTTACAGAGTCTTCGGAGGGGGAGAAGGAGGGAGCTAAAACAAACAAAAAACAGAAAATGACCGTCGCCAGTTCCTCACTTCAAATCCAAAACCTCTTCGTCGAAGGATGTGTTCAAGTGAAATGAGCTGCTAGCTGGAGGGCTCTCTTCTCTGTTGGCTGCTGTGTCCGGGTCGGAACTGGTGGATAAATGGCGCTGTGTCTCTACCTCAGTGTCAGTGATCTCTGACAAAATCCTGCAAACAAGCAAAGAAAACCAAAATGCTATGGAGTTGAAGCTGTGTCCCTGGGTCTGAGGGAAGTGTGGGTGGGGATCCTAATGGTGAATGGGCATCTAATACCTCACCTTCTGATATTTATACTTTGATAAGAAAAAACACCTTGCTGCAACAGATACAGTGTCAGATAATTCTGTTCATTAGCCTCAACTTGGACATTGCTACTGACTGAGTTTACGAATTTTGGATGTATAGATGTACTCTAGAGTGTGGAAAACATGTCGCAACTTAAGAAACATTACAAACAAAATTCAATGGGGGTAAATTTAATCTAACTTAATGGGTGAGAAAACCAATGGTGGAACTTTGTTTTTGACATTTTGAGGAGATATTGATGTTGTAGTAATATTGCTGAACTGGTAACTTCCCAGACCTTGAGCTCTGAGCTTGGCTGGGTTGCCACACAGCAGCTGATAGAATTTAAAGTTAATAAAATTGAATTGAAAGTTAGTCTCAATAATGGTGCCATAAAACTATCATATAGGTTTTTAAAGACAATCAATCTGGTTGCTAACGTCCTTCAGTGAAGGAAATCTGCCATCCTTACCTGGTCTAACCTACACGAGACTCCACACACAGCAATGTCGTTGATTCTTAACTTCCCTCTGGAATAGCCTAGCAAGCCACTAAGGTCAAGGACTATCAAGGATGGACAACAAATGCTGACCTTGGGAGTGACGCCCATATCCTGTAAATAAAACCCTGCCCAATGATTTTGATCGAGAGGAATAATGGCAGGGTGTAAAACAAGAAACGCGCTCAATCCTGTAGGCTTTTGGAGAGGAAGGTTAGATTGTAATGATCCGTGGTTGTATTTCCAATTGTAAAACAGCCACTGTCCCACTGAAGAAACATCATGGGAAAACCTGACAGGCACTCTGGAAGCCAATCCTGATGACTAAGGTGCTTCCCAAGATTGAGACAATAGCGATAATGACTGACAAACTGCTGAAGCCCTTTAAGATCTTTCTGATACAACTGAAAGTTTCAAATGGGAAGTCTTGAAAATCTCTATTTGCACAGTGGAAACAAGCTCATAATCCTGAAAGCTCTAGCCCAGCTCGCTACTAAAGGTTCTTAATACTATGCCCAACCATTCCCCAATAACACCCATTTGAAACCTGGGAATGGGATCTTTAAAAATTCTCTTACAGGATGTGGGCATCATTATTGCCCATCCATGGGCATGTTGAGAGTTCTGTGATGAAGCATACAGTAGCCTGGGCTATATTAACAGGGGCATAAATTCTAATGTAATCAAATCATTTAAAACACTGGCTTGGCCTCTGTCAGGGTATTATACTCAGTTTTTGAGCACTACAATTTAAGACCAACGTCAAGGCATTCGAGACAGCACAGAAAAGATTTCATACGGATGGTTGCAGGGATCAGGAACTTCAGTTAGGTGGATTGATTGGAGCAGTTGGGACTAGTTACTTGGAGTTGGGACAATTGATAGAGGTATTCAAAATTCTCCAGAGACCAGATGGAGCAGATAGAAACTGTTTCCATTAGCGAGAAGATTTAGAACAGGAGGGTGTAGATTTAAGGTGATTGGGAAAAGAAGCAACAGCAACAGGATTGAAAACTGTTTACACGCAGCGAGGGGTTAAAATCTAGAGTGTGGCAGAAGCAGGTTCGATTGAGATGTTCAGGAGGAAATTAGATTGCTGTCTGAAGAAGTAATGCACCGAGAAGGGGGAAGAGTGACTTTAAGTAAATTGCACAGTTGGGGAACTGGCACAGACATAGTGAACAAACTGGCCTCGTTCTGCAGTGCAACCACTTTGGGATTCTGTTTCTGTGAACTTCACCCACTCTTAATATTAGACAGCCATGTCTGGGTTGATTTAAGCAATGGCATGCCTTAAACAGATAAATCAAGGTAGAACTCCTATCTACTTATAACATGCGCAAACACAACTTAAGAACAGGAGTACGCTTCTCTGCCCTTTCAGCCTGCTCCACTATTCATTAAGATCATGATTATTATTAATATTTTTCATTTGATTTGCAAAGTGACATGTGGTTTGAGTTGATGCTGTAGTTGGTTAGATCTCAGCTTTCTCAGAGTATCATATAAATAAATATTCTGTATTAGATTAACACACAAGTATTCACCCTGTCAAATAACAAGGGGAAAAGCACCATCAGCCATGTCTTGTAAGAAGCACTCAGGAGAAGTGAACTCTTCCTGGTGAAGGGGATATCTAGGCCCGAAACGTCAGCTTTCCTGCTCCTCTGATGCTGCTTGGCCTGCGGTGTTCATCCAGCTCTACACTGTGTTATCTCCCTGGTGAAGCATTGGCCATCACACTAAAGAAACTGGAATGACATTAAACTGCGAGAAAAGGTGAGTTTCTCATTTTAAAGAAACTCTGATCCACGAGTGCTGACAATTTAATGACAGAAAAGAACTGGCAATCTTGCTGGCACTATCAATCACTTAAGTACCACAAGAGTGGTGACAGGTACCGAGCTTCTGCATACGTTTGAGTGGCAATGTGAGGAGGACAGTGTAAAACTCCAGAAGCTCATCATTGAGTTGATAGAGTGGGCAGATAGGTGGTAAATGAGTTTCAATGCAAAGAAGTCTGACATGATGCACTTTGGTCAGAAGCACACTGAAAGCCAATATAAATTAAATGTACAATTCTAAAGGGGGTGCCGGAGCAGAGGGACCTGAGGAATACATGTGCACAGATCATTGAAAGCTGCAGGATGGGTGGATGGAGTAGTAAAGTAAAGCATAACGTCCTCGAGTTTTATTAATATCAGCATAAAGTATAACAGCAAGGGGGTGATTTTGAAATTGTACAAGACACTTGTTAGGCCTCAGCTGGAGTACTGTCTACAGTTGCGGGCATCACACTAATAGCAAAGACTCTTCATTAGAGAGTGTGCAGAAACAATTTTCAAGAATGGTTACAGGATGAGGAAGTTCAACCCTGAGGATAGATTGAAGAATTAGGTACTGTTTGGGACTGTCCTCCTTGCAGAGCAGGCTGAGAGGAGATCTGATAGAGGTTTCCAAAATCATTAGGAGGGAAATAGATCAGATAAAGAGAAACTGTTCCTACTTGTAAAAGAAACTAGAACACGAGGGCATAAATATATAAAGTGATCTGCAAAAGAAGCAAGGGTGAAATGAGGAAAAATCTTTTCACTGAGTGAGTAGTTAGAGTATGGAAAGCACTGTCTGGAAATGTGGTGGAGGAAGGCTCAGCTGAGGCATTCAAGAGGGAATTGATGATTATTTGGATAGACATAATGGGGAGAAAGCAGGACATTGGTATCGAGGTAATGATGCACATTTAACGAATTGATGCAGGCACAATGGGCTTCTGCGCTATAACACATTTGTCAGTGTGTGATGATGTGAGCAGGAACAACAATTTCCAATTATATAGCACCTTTAACATCCCAGAGGCATCCCAGAATGTTGTAATACGTCCTAAATCTGGCTCCTGCCTTCACAGAGAAGTCAATACTATATCCTTCAGTGTTGTGGAAACCAGGCACTAGAGCACTTATCGTACTGATTCTCACTCTGACCTCTCATTCTTTTCCGCTTGCCATTTTTCTCGGCACTCTCTCTTTCTACAGTCTCTACATCCTTACTCAGTTTATAGTCTTTCTTTTTTGTCTGTTCTTCACTTTCTTTCCATGTCCGGTCTTGTACTAACTGTCCCTCACTTTCTACCTGCACCCTTTTCTCTTCTTCAACTTTTGTTCCTCTTTTCACAGGGCAGAGGTGTCAACCGTTCCAGTTTCTCGAACACGGGGCAAGTGAAGAACAGCAAAACATTAAGATGGATCCTGCTCTGTCCACACAGAATACGACACGCATCCACTTACCAATTTACTGGGCTCTGCATTATCAATAGCAGCTCCCTGAAGAATTTATGGATATTGCATTCTTCCTTAATGCATTTCGGTACAAGATGCCAAATAATTTATTAAGCTGGGCTGGAAGGATGCCTGTTGGAATGGGATACTTTCTAACTACACACTAAAGAGACCCTGCCTACCAGATTCTCAAGATGCAGAAGGCTTTGGCCACTTTGCAATCCCATTCATTCAGGCCTGTGATACAAAGTATAATTTAATTCTATCAATTTTGCACAGGATCATTCCTGTGACTGCAGCTGTAGCTATTCATTTCTAGATGTTCACCAAGTTGCCAACAGTGGACATGTTGAAAGCTTCTTTTATGTGGGTGCAAGATTTGTGTGCCAACTAATGTGTCACTACGATGTTGAAACCAGCACACCCATTTCAGTGCAAACCAGCCTCTTGCTCATATGTTCTGAATATCACGCAACTAATGTAACATAAGGGATTGGAACAGGAGCAGGCTGTAGGCCCCTTGTAGCTGGTCTGCCTTTTGGTAACATTTTTGGTCTCAAATAATCCCCAGGTCACGTAACTCCCCCAGAATCCAAAACACTGTCTACCTCAGCCATCAAGAGTGATGCAGCCATAATCCTCTGAGATAAGGAAGTCCAAAGATTTAGAAACCTTTGAGCAAAGAAATTCCTCACAAGCTGATTCTTAAATGATTGACCTTTATCCTCAGACAGAACTAATATGACCACCGGCAAATGGTAACCTACAGTGACAAAATCTTCAGGGGCAGGGTGGAAATGGGTAGTCATGAAATTGTATGAGGAAATAAACAGGCTTTAGGAATGGGCATAATTGGCCTTGATCCACAGATATATGTCAACATATACTGATGTACACAGACGTCCATCTAATGACATTTTCCAAAACTTTAGATTATATTTTTCACTCTGTTGATGCAGCAGTTTTACAAATTTGTACATCTACATGACTATTCCAAAACTAAAAACCAGCAAATAAGATCAAAGGATGTAATTGAATACAGCCTGATTTATCATAAGGACAATAGATTTTGTAAATTGCACATAAAATCCTCCAGCAATTGTTGCAAGAACACCGTGTTATAACATGTGAACCATATGACACACTAACGTGAGCACTTCTTCTTGGAAATATCCTGGGAAAAGTGTAGAACATTGAGAATGTTCAATCAGCATGATCATATTCTCCTTGCTCAAGCAAAACAAACAGAATTATGAATACTGAAACCTTATTCACACCAATGCACAATATTTGCTTTCACAAGTTAGTTGTGAGGTGGTGGGGGAGAGTTGGGGACAAAGCCAAAGATTCACCTAGGTTTACCTAACTAGGGCACTTAGAATTCATCCACTAGCCCTGCCCTGAGATTATGCCTCCCTGTTCAAGATTCTCTAACAGGAGAAACAAACTCTTAGTTCTCGCCCTGTTAAGCACTCTCAGAAGTGCATAAATCTAAATGAATCACCTCTACAATACCGGCTAATCCTACCCAACGTCCATTATAACATCCCAGGAATCAATCAAATGCTATCCCTCTTTAGCTATCGGGAGGTGACAGCCCAGTGGTATTTTTGCCGGACTGTTAATCCAGAGATCCAGGTGATGTTCTGGGATCCCAGGTTCAAATCCTGCCATGGTAGGTGGTGGAATTTGAATTCAATAAAACGTCTGGAATTAAGTGTCTTTTGATGACCAGGAATCTGTTGTCGATTGTTGGAAAAACCCATCTAGTTCACTAATGCCCTTCAGGGAAGGAAACTGCCATCCTTACCTGGACTGGCTTACACTTGACTCCAGACCCACAGCAATGTGGTTGACTCTTAACTGCCCCCTGGGCAATTAGGGATGGGCAACAAATGCTGGCCTAGCCAGTGACACCTTCATCCCATTAATAAAAAAAGACAAGGTGATCAGAAGTGGGCATGTGGTCTCAGCAAAATCCCATGCAATTATAGCAAGGCTTTCTTACTGTTGTACTCCAGCCCCCATGCAATAAGAACAATATTTGCTTAGTATATTTGGTACCAAACACAGTAAATGAACGTTAGGTAAAATGAAGTACTTTGATTCTTCAGTCTCAGGAGTTCAAGGTGGATCTGCAGTCCAAAGCAAGCAAACAGCACATGAGGCTTACTCACTTTGGCTGGTCAAATTTCCAAGATGAAACAGGAAGAAGGATAGAGATGGAGAAAAGGGAAATCTATATCTCAGAGTTATAGACAAACTGGATTGTATCACTGCAAAGACTTTGGAGTTGTAAAACAGTCCCTTAAGCCCTTGCGGACTTTTCTTCAACCTTCAATACTTGGCCATATCTACACTCTAGTTAAACTTCCCTCAGGCTGGACAGCTTAGTGGTTAGTTTATCAGGAAACTAATAAAAAATGGTCCAGAATAACCCATTTGTGGAAAACTATCCAAATGAGATCAAGGTTTTGCCGCAAAAGAATCTGAAGCTGCTGTTTAGGAATATTTCAAGGCAATTCATGTCCTTCGTCTTTGGAAACCTCTTCCTAAACATGTGGTAGAAGCAGAGTCTGAATATTTTTAAGCCAGAGGGAGACAGATTCTTGGTAAGCAGGGGGAATCAGTGAAAGGTTATCAGAATAGGTGTGAATGTGGATTTGAGTTTACACTCAGATCATCCAGGATCTTATTAATCGACAGAGCAGGCTCGAAGAGCCAGTTGACTTATCTCTGTTCCTTGTTTGTATGTCCCTCCTGATGGCAAATTCTCCACATATTGACCAGTGCTTACCTGTCACTGCTCGTCGATCTCACAGCACCTTTCCTGAGCTCCTCGTCCACTCCCTTCCGGGCCCATTTTTTCTGCTTTGGAGCTGTGTCAGATTTGGTTGTGTTTGATTCAGTCGTCAAACCTGGAATGACAAAATGGAAAATATTCAAACCTGGAGCAAAGGGCAACAACAAGCTCATGGTGCTGCCAGCTGGGTGCAATTTACAATGTAATGAAGTCTGGAGGACTCAACTGCAATGAATATGCTGACTGTGAGCACTGTAATTAAACCCAGCCGTTTGCATATACCTGACGAGAAGTTCCAAATAATGGAAAGGGGAACGGTTTGTGAGAATTCCACAAATTTAGCAAATGGATCATGTCATAGTTGGCTCATCAAATTCTGGTGTGTACCAGTGACTGAACATCAGGATATACTTTGGCTTATCTGCCAATAAAACTGCTTTAGGCTTCAGACAAATTCTCACTTTAAATCAGCGTGACTACAGCTTAATAGAGTTAGCCAGTTAAAATTCCAATTTCCTCATAAAATTCTTTAGTCTTCTGAAGCAAACATTAAAGCTGAATACAGGACGATTTAGGATCACTCGACCATAAACCACACTGCTCTCATGAGTAATAGAGATCTAGCACAAGGGGAACCTCAACAGCAGGGAGGCAATTGTGATTCCGGAAGGAGATACAGTAATCAGAAATAGCAAGGTGAAGAGACAAAGTCAGGCTGGAACAGGACAGGGAGTGAGGAATGCCTGTTGGATTAAATTGTATCTATTTCAATGCTAGAGAGTGGACAGGTAAGGCCGATGAACTCAAGATGTGGATAGGTACGTGGGACTGGGGTATTATAGCCATTACAGAAACGTAGCTAAGGGAGGGACAGGACTGGCAGCTTAAGTGCCAGGATACAGGTGCTTTAGGCGGGACGGAAGTGGAGGAAAGAGGGGAGGGGGAGTTGCATTTTTGATTAAAGGGGAGTAATCACAGTAGTAGTCAGAGATGAAATAACTGAAGGATCATCCAGTGAGGCTTTGCGGGTGGAGCTAAGAAATACAAAGGGGATGGTGACTTGACTGGGGTTGTACAACAGCCCCCAAATTGTCAATGGGAATTAGAGGAACAAATATGCAGGGAGACTGGGGAGACTTGCAGGAGCAATAGGGTTGTCATAGTGGGGGATTTTAATATTCCTAACATAGACTGGGACTGCCTTAGTGTTAACAGCTTAGATGGGGTGGAATTTGTTAAATCTGTTCAGGAAAGTTTCTTCAATCACTATATAGAAGATCCTACTTGGGACATGGCAAAACATGACCTACTCTTAGGAAATAAGGCAGGACAGGTTAATGAAGTGACAGTGGGAGAGCACTTTGGGACCAGTGACCATAATTTTAAAATAGTTATGGAGAAGGACAAAAAAGGTCCACAGGTTCACGTTCTAAATCGGGGCAAGGTAAATTGTGATGCAGTTAGACTGGAGTTTGCAGGTGTTGATTGAAGTAGTTTGTTCGCAGGCAAAGGGACCTCTGGCAAGTGGGAAGCCTTTAAAAGTGTGATAGCTAGAGTTCAAGGCCTATAAGTTCCTGTGAGGGTGAAGGTCAAGGTTGGCAAGTACGGAACCCTGATGATAAGAGATATTGAGGATTTGACCAGAAAAAAGAAGGAGGCTTGGCTCAGATACAGGCACCTGGGATCAAGGGAATCCCTGGAGGTATATAGGGGATACAGGAGTTTCCTGAAGAAGGAAATCAGGAAGGCAAAAAGGGGGCATGAGATAGCTTTGGCTGAGAAGATTAGGGTGAATCCAAAGATATTCTTTAAGTACATTAAAGGAAAAAGAATAACTAGAGGCAGAAAAGGACCCCTCAATGACCAAAGTGGACATGTATGTGTGGAACTGCAGGAGATGAGCAAAGTCCTCAATGAATATTTCTCCACTGCGTTTACCATGGAGAAAGACAAGATGACTTGGGAACTTGGGGATATTATTGGCTATATCCTGGGGACAGTCCATATCACAGTAGAGGAGGTGTTGGAATATTAGAATGTATGAAAGTGGATAAATTTCCCGGTCCTGACCAGATATGTCCAAGAAGTTAGGGAAGAAATTGCGAGGGCCCTGGCTGATATATTTGCATCATCATTAGCCACAGGTGAGGTCCAGAAGACTGGAGGGTAGTGAATATTGTGCCCTTATTCAAGAAGGGCTGCAAAGAAAAACCTGGGAATTACAGGCCAGTAAGCTTAACATCTGTGGGAGGTAAGTTACTTGAGCAGATTCTGAGGGATAAGATATACATATATTTGCAAAGACAGGGTTCGATTAGGAATAGTCAGCATGGTTTCATACATGGGAGATCATGCCTCATAAATTTGTAAGCGTTCTTTGATGAAGTGCCCAGGAAGGTTGATGGGGGCAGGGCAGTAGACATAGTCTGTATGGATTTCAGTGAGGCCTTTGGTAAGGTTCCATATGGTAGGCTGCTCTGGAAGGTTATGGCCATGCAATCTAGAGAGCATACAATCTAGAGAGAGCTGGCAAATTGGATACACAGTTGGCTTGATGGTAGGAAGCAGAGAGTATTAGTGGAAGGTTGCTTTTCAGCCTGGAGGCCTGTGATTAGCGGTATCCCTCAGGGGTCGGTGCTGGGCCCATTGCTGTTTGTTATCTATATCGATGGTTTGGATGAGAATGTACAAGGCATAATTCGTAAGTTTGAGGATGATAGTAAAATAGGCAGATCATGGACAGTGAGGAAGGTTATCAGAAATTGCAGCAGGATATTGACCAGCTGGGGAAGTGGGCCAAGAAATGGCAAATGGAGTTTAATATAGATAAGTGTGAGGTGTTGCATTTTGGAAAGTCAAATAAAGGTAGGAGTTTCATGGTGAATGGTAGGGCCTTAAGGAGTGTAGTGGGACAGAGGGACCTAGGAGTTCAGGTGCACGGTTCTCTGAAAGTGGAGTCACAGGTAGACAGGGCAGTGAAGAAGGCTTTTGGCACACTGGCTTTCATCAGTCAGGGCATTGAGTATAGAATTTGGGAAGTTATGTTGCAGTTGTAGAGGACGTTGGTGGGGTTACACTTGGAGTATTATGTTCAGCTTTGGTCCCCTTGCTATAGGAAGGATGTTATTAAACTGGAAAGAGTGCAGAAGAAATTTACAAGGATGTTGCCAAGACTCAAGGGACTGAGTTATAGGGAGAGGTTGGACAAGTTAGGATTTTTTCTTTAGAGCATAAGAGACTGAGAGGGAACCTTATGGAAGTGTACAAGATCATGAGAGGCATGGATAGGGTGAATGCACCCAGTCTTTTTCCCAGGGTTGGGGGAATTGAGGACTAGAGGGCATCAGTTTGAGCTAAGAGGGGAAAGAATACATGGGAACCTGTGGGGCAACTTCTTTTTTACAGTGAGGGTATGGAATGAGCTGCCAGTGGAAGTGGTTGAGGCCGGTATATTAACTACATTTAAAAGTCATTTGGACAAATACATGAATAGGAAAGGTTTAGAAGGATATAGTCCAAGTGCAGGGAAATGGGGTTAGCGTGGATGCACATTTTGGTCGGCATGGACCAGTTTGGGCTGAAAGGCCTGTCTCTGTGCTGTAGGACTCTATGACACTATGTCTCAAGACCAGAATATTTTTCTTTCAGCATTGCATATACATTAGTTTAGCTTCAGGTAAAACTGCAGACAAAGCTCGTTATTTGCCTGAGGACCATAATTGGATAATGACCTGGAAACATTTAATACGCATTGCTGAGACAATGAAGCAGCATGATTAGAAAGCTGAGATGTAATGGTTGTGGTAACATTTTTCTCATTAACTTTATCTCTCTTCAATAAAATATTGATGATCTTCAGCTTGTTCACTGATTCACTCATATGTGACGAAGGAATACTGAAAGCACAAGCTGGAGACACACAGTTGCTGATACACCTCACTTTACAACTGAGGTTACATTGTCTTTTTGATTTTTGATGCCCTCATGCCCCAAACAAAAAGAAATCACAGAATCATACAATGGTATTTCACTGATATTAGGTATTTGGCCCATCAAGTCTCTGTCAGTGTTCTACGTTACAAGAATTCGGAAATTACAAAGTTACAGTTGACCAAATGTGGCATCAAGGAGCCCAGGCAAAACTGGAGGCAACGTGATTCAGGGGGAAAACTCTCTGCTGGTTGGACTGGCACTTAAAGAAATTGGATATAGTTATTAGACGTCAGTCATTTAAGCTCCAGGACATCTCTGCAGGAGTTCCTCTGAGTACTGTCCTAGGCCCAACCATCTTCAGCCTCTTCATCAATATCCTTCCCTCCATCGTAAGGTCAGAAGTGTTGATGGTCACTGATGATTGCACAATGTTCTGCACTATTTGGGACTCCTCAGATACTGAAGCAGTCAATCTTCAAATGCAGTGAGACCTGCACATTACCCAGCCTTTAGGCTGAAAAATGGCAAACGATAATCATGCCACACAAATACAAGGCAATGACCATCTCCAGCAACAATCTATAACCATTACCACTTAACCTTCCAGGGCATTACAGTCATGGAATCCCCCACTATCAACATCCTGACCAGAAACTGAACTGGACTAGCATACAAGAGCAGGTCAGAGGCTAGGAATCTTGTATCAAGTAATCTTCCACTAGCTACAAGGCACGCGTCAGGAGCATGATGGAATACTCTTCACTTGCCTGGATGACTGAAGTTCCAACAACACTCAAGAAAATTGACACTATCCAGGACAAAGCAGCAAATATGATTGGCATCACATCCACAAGTATTCACTCTCTCCACCACTGATGCACAATAGCAGCAGTGTGTACCATTTACAAAATGACTGCAGATATTCTCCAAGGCTCCTTAGACAGCATCTTTCAAACTCAAAACAACATAAAATGACAAGGGCAACAGATAAATGAGACAATTACACTTGCAGGTTCCCCTCCAAGCTACACATTATCAATATTTTGCCATTCCTTCAGTGTCATTGGGTCAAAGCCCTAGAACTCCTTCCCTCATGGCCTTGTGGGCCTACCTATACCAATTGGACTGCAGCACAGCAAGAGGGCAGCTCACTGACACCTTCACAACCTCAAGAGATGGGCAATAAATTGTGGCCCAGTCAGTGATGTCCACATCCATGAATGAATTAAAAAAGAAAATTCCCCTCGTCTAATCCCAATCCTGAATCTGTTCCTCGGATCCTTCAATGTTCTTCTACTGAGCAACAATTTAATTCTCTATCAAAGAACTTATGGAGTCTGCTTCCACAACAGTTGGTGATAGAACATTCCACATTCTATCAGAATAGAGTTGGCGTATCAAAGAATGATTCCATTAATAGAAGAACATCCTTATACTTCAACAAAGCGAAGGTGGTAGCATCTTTTCCTCTGAAGCGCAAAGGGTTGGCTTCAGGTCCAGGACTTGAACACAGTCTTACGAGTGATGAGTTATTTATTGTCACATATATCTAGAAAGATACAGTGAAAAGTGTTCTGTCACCACAATCCAGCGCCACTTTGAGCAACAAAAAGGATAAAATGAAATAACATAAATAGATTTCCTCTTCTGCTTTCAAACACAGCTCCAGTGCTCCTGCAAGGTGTCCCAGGCCTCAAGGAGACCCCGCTCTGGGAACAGCAATGAAAACCCTGCCAAGAATCCATGTTTCAGGCATACCGCAGCCAGGAGCCCCCACTCAGGGCACCGTCACTGCCACAGCGACTCCCACCCTCCTCCCGCCCCCACCCACCGCAGCCAGGAGCCCCCGCTCAGGGCACCGTCACTGCCACAGCGACACCAACCTCCCCCCCCACCGCAGCCAGGAGCCCCCACTCAGGGCACTGTCACTTTTGCAGGGACCCCCCACCACCGCAGTCAGGGCACCATCACTGCCGCAGCCAATGACCCACCGAGTCCACACTGATAGCTGGGGATAATATTGACAGTGTTACATTGTCGGAAGTGACCTGATTTTGGGAGAGATTAAACTAAGGTCTTGCCTGCCTGTTGACGTTTTGATCCTATGGCACAGTTTGAAGATGAATTCTCATGATATCTGGGCAACATTTATCTCTCAGTCATTACCATCAAGACCCTACATGTGGTCCTTCATCTGACTGTTGCTTATGGGATCTTCTTTGGTGCAGATTTTCAATTTAGAACAACAATATACATTGGCACTATTAAATCTCCTTTCTGTGCACTAACACTTCACTTTGTGTAACATTTTGAGTCCATGACCACATTCTTGCTGATACATTTAGTCAAATCTACAATTCCCTTTATGGATGAAAAGTCTCTCAAAGCAAAACAACATTACATTCTATGTCTGAATTTACTGCAGTACTGAACAATCCCCACCACTACCTACCTATACTCATCTTTACTAGCTTCATCCCTGCCTCCTTGACCTGTCCATCTTCCCTCCCACCTACCCACTCCTCCCACCTCACTGACCAACCCCCACCCCCACTTCCTACCTACTAGCCTCATCCCCACCTCCTTGACCTGTCCGTCTTCCCTCCCACCTATCTGCTCCATTATCCACCTTCTATCACCGTCCCCTCCTCTTTCTATTTATTTCAAAGCCCTCTTCTTCTCCCCAGTTTCTAAGGAAGGGTCCCGACCTGAAACGTCAGCTTTCCTGCTCCTGTGATGCTGCCTGGCCTGCTGTGTTTCTCCAGCTCCACACCTTGTTATCTCAGACTCCAGCATCAGCAGTTCTTACTATCTTTGAGTGAATAACTTCTGTGTTCTGCATTTTGAGAAAGGCCAAAGAATGAATATCCAATGTTCAGCCAAAACATTGTGGGCCAGAGCTGCTTTAGCAACAATAAGCCCTCATTTGAAGCTGGGTTGCATTTCTGAAAATTGTGATTTCAAATGAAACGACATTAAGTGAATCATTTGTTCCCATTGGACACAGTGTTAAAGCCAGAGTTAGGTTCTTTTGGACATTTCTCGTTCAGAAAAACAGTGCACAAGTTGAAATATTGCACTGTACTTGTGTGAAACTGTGCATTTTTAGCTGAAATAACTTCCAAAACAAAATATATCGCTAAATGTAAAAAATACACATACAACGTAATGAAAACATACACAAACCATGTAGTTCTGTACATTCAGTTTTACCAGGCTCCATCCAGTGGCAGAAGTTGATCAGTGCAGGTAACAGCTGAAATCCTGGGAGTACCAGCACTGACCTCTGTCTGTCACTAGATGGAAAAGATGATAAAAGAGGGAGTTCAGGAGTGCAGCCTGCAGCCTGGATAAGCTCTGGAGAGAAGGGCAGAGGGCAGGAGACAAGGCTCAAGGGGAAAAGGTAAAGCTGCAGTGTAAGGCTGTGGAATGATGCCCAGGGAAGAAGCAAAGCTGGGGAACAAGGCCTGGGAGACAGCTGAACCCCAGGGCAAAGGCAAGGGGGCTCGGGAGAGTAAACGTTGTCAGCCAGGGTATCAGTGGTAGGGGGTCGTCTGAGGGCTAAAACGGAAGTGCTGAGTTTGGGGGGAGAATGGGGAAAGGATCATCTGAGAATGCAATCCACAAAGAGAACGTTTGTAACCAACAACACTTAGAATGAAACTGGCAATGTTAAATAGATATTTTGCAACTAATTGATTAATGACCTTAAAGTGGAATGACTTTCAGCAGACTGACTTTGAGTGAGGACTCACTGTGCAGACACTGTACCATCCACTGAACTCAACTGGAGCGCCAGTAGCCTTTTTGGGCACAAAATTGCATTAGCTTTGAGACCTATCTTTATTTTTTCAAGAGCTGTTTAAGTGAGACTCATCACGTTAAATCATCCATGAATCAGCACAAATAGGTGACTGCACAGAATTAAATGTTTTAAAAAGTTATTTACTCTTAAAACAAAATTCCTTGATCTATTTAATAGTCACTGTATGCAGTTTGATGAATATAGCTGAAAATCAGTTGATTGTTGATAATGAGCAATAAACAATTTTTTAAAATCACTCTAGCTCCCACCTGTGATTTTAAAATTTAAGATTACGTTGAAAGAACAATAGATGACCATTCGCTCATGAGATTGGTGCACTGTCGTCATTCTCTCAGCAAATTAAAACAATTTAAAATAATCTAAAGTGTGCCTTTGATCAGAGGCTGATTTTGAATGAAGTTCATTGCCAGGGCAATGGAGCCAAAACTCCAGTTGAGGGACAACGTGGAGGGACAATTGCACCCATTCGTTCCTCTGCAGGGTACTTCGTGAAGAAGGAAGATTCTGGTCAGTCTAATATTTTCTTAAGTTTTAGGTTTCAGCTTCATCTTCTTGACATATAATCTGCTTATTCGAAAAGCACAGTTAAGGTCTGTTGAATTAAATCTCCCTTTGCAGCATACTACAATTTATAGTTATTTTCATCAATTTGTACTGCTAACCACAGAGAAAGAAGAAGGAATTGTATGGCACGTTATTTGAGCTCTCTGATATTTGCTTCATTAAAATAATGGCTAACTTCTAACTACCTTTTCAAGAGCTGCACTGCGGCCAAACCTGTTAAAAAAAATTGCCCCAGCAATCAATATTGCTTTTCATAGAAGCCCTACAGTGTAGAAGGAGGCCATTCAGCCTATCGAGTCAATGCCAACCCTTTGAGGAGCATTCCACCCAGACCCACCCCCTACTGGGTAACCCTGCATTTCCCATGGCTGCTCCTCCTAATTTACACATCCCTGGACACTATGGTCAATTTAACACGGCCAATCCCCTTAACCTGCACATCTTTGGATAGTGGGAGGAAACCAGAGCAGCCAGAGGAAACCAACACAGACACGGGGAGGATGTGCAAACTCCACACAGGCAGTTACCTGAGTGTGGAATCAAACCTATGTCCCTCGCGCTGTGACGTAGCAGTGCTAACCACTGACCCACCCTGTTGCTCTTTTTACAAAGAGGAATCCTGGTTGTTCTTTTGGCTAATCAAGACTCAAGTAAGGGGTTAGGGGAGAGACCTGGGAGAGGGCAGGAAAAAAGGGGGAGGTCAAAATAGATACAGCGAGGAAAGACAGCGAAAAGAGACAAGAGAGAAGAAAGAGTGAAATCAAAGCAGAAAGAGGTGATGGAGGAAAGATGGGCAGAAAGAAGAGAGAGGGCAAATTAGAGAGAGAGAGTTCAGGAGGAGACGAAGAGAAAGAAAAGGGGAAAGGAGGTCAAAATAGTGAGAGGTGTACATCAAGGAAAGCCAGTGAAAAAAAGAGAGAAATAAAGAGATGGAGGGATAAAACAGAGAATAACAGAGAAAGGGCAAATTAGAAGAGGACAGAGAGGGGGACACACTCAAACAGACAGTGCAAGTGGAAGAAAAAGCCAAAAGGAAAGAGAAGATTGAAAAATGAGAACGAACAGAGAGATAGGAGAGGGAAGAAGGGAAAGGAGAGGTGAATGAGAAGAGAAAGTCACAGAGAAAGGGATAAAGAGGTTGAGTGAGAGATTCAGAACCAGAAAGAGACAAAGAAAGAGAAAGAAAATCTGGATTTAAAAGCTAAAAAACCAACTGCAAAGACACCAGCAGAGTGTTTGTTTTAATTGAGTAGAATTGTAGTGGAAACTGAAATGAGTAACCTCCAGCCCCTGCTAAAGCACCAGTCCTCGGGTCCGCTCAGACTAACCATGCAAAGTAGCCAATAAGTTATCGTGTTCTGTTGTGTTTCTGATCTCCACCATGACCTTATCAGAAATCTGATTTTGAAACAGCACTGCATCTTCTTTATAATTCCTCACTTAACAGCTGCTCCAAAATCTGGGGGAGGCGCCAGGCGCAGATAAGACAAGTTGGGAAATTCAATGTGTCAAATCCGACTTGTCAAGTGGCTTTCAGCACCGCAGGGGAGCTGCAGTTTGTCATTCAGGAACAACCCTTACCCAGTAACTCTTTGCGTGTTCTGCATGCAATCTCTTTGATCTCCATGCGAGAAAGTGAAAGTGAGTGAGTTACAGGCATCGCTGCAATTCCACTCGATGTTGGCGTGGTAATGACCTTGGCAACCAGAGGTGACTTCAGAGGCCGCTCAATGCTTCTTCCAACAAGGTTACTGAGAGGAATCTTATAAATGTGCTTCCACTGAATTTCACCTTAAAATATAACACAACATTGTTAGCAACCACCCATTAAACATAGAAACATAGAAAATTGGAGTAGGCCATTCAGCCCGTTTCATCATTCAACCAACTCAGACCCCTGTTACTGCTTTCTGCTCATACTCTTTGATCCTTTTACTCCTCAGAACAATACCCCGATTCCTTTTTGAAAATATTCAATGTTTTGTCCTCAATCGCTTTCTGTGCCCGAGAATTCCACTCTCTGGGTGAAGAAATTTCTCCTCATCTTGTCTCTTAACTGTTACAGAATGTCATAACCAAATAAAATAAAATAATCTACCGACATGGTGTCATTGTTAGTAACGAACTACCTATGGCATTTAGAATTAATTTATGTTAATAAAATCATCCGCGTCAAATTAACCGAATACTCCAAAATAACCGTTTCTGGATTGTTGTGGTGGTAGAAGTAGATATTCAAAAGGGAATTGGACAGATATTTGTAATGAAACGATTTGCAGCCTCTGGACAACCACCATGCAAGTGAACTAATCTACAAATTTTTCAGGGAGCTGACCCACAGCACCATAGGCCAAATAGGTTCCTTTTAATCATATGAAAATGAAAGTCACTCCTGATGGAAGGTGTGTTGTGTACCATATTGAGGATATATATAAAACATCACAATCTGGAATCTTAACAATCATTCTGACAGTGTAAAGACATAGATCTGAATATCTTCTTGCACTCAGTAATAAAGAAAATTGGGGGACCCTGTATCGAACAGACTCTTAACAACAATAATCACATCAATAATCTTAAAATGCATGATGATCTTAATGGTCAGCGAGATTTTAAACATGAAGTCCTTGAAGAGTTAGTCATCATGTTTCTCAGTGACACTGCAATTCCAAGATAATGTAAGTATTAACAACACAGGGGGTGCTAATATTCATAGAAAGGCATTGTGCCCACTCAGAACAGGTTTCAGCTTCTCTCCTGCCAAACAGCTCAGAAATAATCAGCATCAGGTAAGGACATAAACCAGAAGATGGCATGTTGGAGCCAGCACATCATTTCCACAGAGACAGGACAGGTCTGCAATTATCCACAGGCTGAGTGTTATTAACCATACTGAGGCTGAGTATTTAATTGCACTTTGTCTTGCTGATGCCCATTAATACTCATATTCAACAATTCTCCTCATTAAGTCATGCATGTATAATACCCAGTTAACCAGAATTTAATTTTGCTAGCCCCTTTTTAAACTTTTATTGTCATTGGAGTCATGAACTTATAGTGCGTGGGACTATTTTAGGAATAGTTACCATAATAGAGTTATTCTATGAATCAGCGACTAGGGGAAGATTGGCTGCCACTAGTAAATGTGTCAGGCTGTAATCTCTCACCTAAGGCACCATCCATTAGTGTGAATTCAGCAAATCTGATGGAATATGGTTTAACAGGAGCAGACAAGCCAAACCCCACCATACAGACTCCCAGCAAGTGAGACTCTGCATTAGGAGGGAAGGCCCTGGAAAAATGATTCAGTTAGTGACATTGTCTGCCTGGCAGCTCAACAACTGAGATTTCTAACCTGCGACTGCAAAGGCACAAAATATTTAACCACCACGACTACCTGTGATATCCTAGCTATTCTGAGCAAGAAGTGAGTGAGTATAATCAGCCGCTATCGCACTTCCAACAAAAATGTCAAATGTACGACACAACCCTGCCAATAGTTTGCAGTATTTTCTGTAAAATCACTGTTGTTTAAGGAATAATGTATTTATGCATCCTTGACATAACAAAATGTCCCAAGATGTTTCACAGGAGCATGATACAGCAAAATTTGACACTGGGCCACATTTGGACAGATGACCAAATGTTTGGCCAAAGAGATAGTTTTAAGGATATTCTTAAACGGGGAAAGGTGGGCAGAGAGGGTTAGGCAGGGAAATCCAGAGCTGTTGCTCAGGCACAGGTAGCATTGATTGTCCCCATGGAGGCAAATGCTTGTATTTGCCAATGTTCAGTATCTCTGACCTTTGCCATGCGGGTGTAATTACTGAATAGGTACCGGACATAGGGATGTTATTATTCCAAGGAAGGAGTCGAAACACTTTTAATTTGTGTGAAATATCACAAGCATCTGAACTGACAGTGTAGATCATAATGTGTGTGCACATTTGAGTGTGTGTCTGTACACATTGTAAGGCTACACAATGTGGAATCACAGAATTCTTTACCTTATGAAATAGTTACAGTTGTGAATGTGCAGATTTTAATTGATAGGAGGGTTGATTGAACAGGCAGCAGATTCCCTCCCCATCAAAGCTCGATATCTCCCCCTCCCCCCATTTTGCATTTTCACAAAAACCTTTCAGCTTCGCATTTGGTTTGCTCTCAATGAATTCAAACTCTTGAATCATATCACTTGAAAACAATCATTTTTCGTAATAATAAGTGGAATCTAAAAGCTCTGTTATATAATCCTACTTACGACCCTCATTGAAAAATCTCAAGCAAGTCAAGAGCTTGCAGTGACTGAAGGGTGTAGGTGTTCTGTTGCTGCGATGACAAGACCAAAACAACTCCAAATAAAAAGCTTTAAGAATGACTTTAAGATGGAGTCAGTTTGTAACGTACAAGTATGAATGGAAAATCAACAGAAAGCTTCTGGGCTGACACATACTGCAACGTGTTATGCTAACTGGGGAGAAGAATGAATGGTCAGACTCCTATTTGCTGAAACAATTTGAGTTAGGGATGCATCAATCTTTTCTCTACCCAGTAATCGTCAGTTTTAATTGGAAGTGTATTCTGAAAAGTAAATTCTTGCTAAACCTGGTTTTGTTTAAATCACGGACAACATTGTGAAACAGAGTTGTCTTAGATTAACATAACTATAACAGTGGAACATCCTTACCGATGTTATTTCTGTAAATTATAATTAAGTTGGCTCAATTGAATGTTTTCGATATGTTAATGAGGAGATTTTAACCCACTGCGAACTCACCTGTTTGCAGAAATTGAAAGCCGTGCCATTGTGTCAGAAACACAAATGAGTTCCATTTTTTTGGATATTAACCTCTGGACTAACTTTTTTTTACACTCCAAATCTTTTTCTTATCATAATGAAAAAGAGCCCTGATGCTCATTTGAAGACAGGATTGATCTGATGCTGATTATTATCGTCTTTTACGCCAACGAACTGCTTTCCTATAAGTCATATGAAATTGTAAACAAAATGTCAAAACCAACAGACATTTTGACTAATGTCCCCCACTATTTCACCTTATTGACTCCTAGTCACATGAATACATGAGGTGATCCAATTGGCTTAGAATTTTGCTATTTCCATTAATAAGCCTGTGACAATAGGGAGAGTTTTCATTATCTGCATGACCTCCCCTATTATCTCACATTGTGAAGATGTACTTCCCACAGCAACACTTCTTGACAGTCTGGAATTTCTCAACATGAAGGTCCTCAAGGTAACCTCAGCCAGTACAAGAATTGAACCCAATGTTGGCATCACTCCACCTCACGAACCAGCTGTCCAGCCAACTGAGCTAATGATCAATATTAACACGCGAGATTGAATTCTGATGAAACCAGTAATAAATAGTGGTATGTGAGGATAAGACCATGAGTAGGCTCACGATCTGTTTGAAAGAATTGTTTTTGTATTAAATCCCTTTACAGGATTATTTCCTGAGGCTCATATAAAACAGCTTTAGGAATGGGCTGGTGGGATTTTCCATCAGTGAGGGAAACCCCTCAAAGATGTTCGATAGTACAGATCAAGGCAATTCACCAAACCCTAAAATATTTTTACTGCATCACCAATGAACTTGATGCACAGTTCAAAGGGAGTTTTATTTTAAAATAGAAAATACTAAGTTCTAAAGATACAGATGGAATAGAGGTGAGGAACTCAGTTAGTTCGAGCAACAATGAAGTGCTTCAGTGTAACATTGGCAGGATTTGGTTTTCAGAAGGATGAGTGCCAGTAGGATGAAAGGTCTCAGTCATTCTCAGAATACCAGCTAACTATGAGTCTAGAGTGGACACACGTATGGAAGCTGGAGCTCAACGCATGAACCTGTGAGATTTTCAAGAGACAAACTAGAATTGCTTCTTAAGAGTGAGCGGTTATGGAGGGTCAAAGGAATTTGTGTGTCCAGCTGCATGGATTCCATGCAGCTCTGGTTCAAAACATCAACAAAACGAACAGACTGTCAGCTTTTATCGCAAGGGAGGTTTCAATGGAAAATTGAGGAGTGATATATCTGTCCCGAGCATTGATGAGATCTCATCTGGAGTGCAGGATTAAGTTCTGATCACTGCATCTCAGAAAAGATACACTGGATCCGCAGATGATGCAGTGAAGTTTCACCAGAATTATATTGAATCTTGAAGGATAAAACTATGTTGGGTTCATCAGAATAAATGCAAAAATGTCACAATCACAATTTCTCCCACCGAGGCTTGGTCAGCAAGTTGACTCTGAAAGGCAGAGGCATTACCATGAAGAAAGTGACGGGGAATTATCGGTTCCCCAAGCTGCTGGATTCTTCAGAAATGCTGCAAGACTTGAACACACTGTTTTTGTCTGCAGAGTACAGGACCTTCACAATGAGTCTATGAATAATTATTTTAAATTAGTTATTAATTTAGCTGTTAGCACAATCAGATTGGTCAGTAAGCGCAGTCCAGCTGTAGAATCACATCTAACAGCAGATATTTGGTTTTGAGTTTCACAAGGGCGGATTGGTTGAGTATGGTTTGAAGTCAGTCTATTATGAACAGCTGTAGGAACATGTGGCTTGATTTGACGAACGAATTGTTGGGATGTACAGTCTACAATATACTTTCATTGAGGAAGGTTATTGAGTGATACAAAGCAACAGCTGGTGAATGAAGCAATGCTGTAGATTAGTCATGGTCTAAATAAATGGGGAAATAGGCACAAGGAGGTGAATGACCCATTCCCTCCTTACGTAAAATGCAGGGTTGGCCAGCTCACT